AGTAACACATGAATGTTTTAAAGCTTCCTTTTCTTGCGTGTGTGTTTCCATAGTACTCTCCAACCATGACGATGAGCGTGTGACCCCTCCCCCTCTTCACCCGACCCGATTTGCCATCATTCCGAGGATCTGAAGTCACTGTAGGACACGGCCAAACACATCAGCACCAAATCAGGGACAGGCGCCATTTTGGTTCCACACTAACGCCAGAATGCTGATTGGGGGACAAAAACAAAACAAAAAAAATCAAAAGTGCTGGCAAACTACTGCTCCTTGCTCAAAATGAAGGACGATTACACCATTTATCACAACCCCTGTGTGAGAAAACCAGCTACTGAAATGCATAAATGACACGTTTTATGTTCTTTGCAGAACCTCCCGACCCCGCTCAGTCCTCTCAGCCTCTTTAATCCTAGTGCGAAGAGAAAAAGGTTGGAAGTTTACCTCTTGTACTTTTTAATGATTGCTTTGTGGTGCAAGATGTGCAGGAAATATCTGCTTTTGTCACTTAAAACACTGGAGAGTTTGCATACGCATTGTGAGCTTGGAAAGTCTGTCTCGTCATTTTATTCATCGCCATGCATACGGTGTCACAGAAATCTGTTGACACGGGACGGAGGATTTGTCTTTTACTCTGTGGCCACCTTTCTGAATAATGTATTTCTCTGCCCAATGCCCACCTTTCTATTTAAAGAGACTTAAAATGGAAACGATGTGAAAGAATATGGCTTTTATTGCGACGGCCTTTTGCAGCGGTGTTGTTACAGCGTCACATTGATCCAGATCGATCAGTCTCTCGAGCCCTTTTCAGACATGGGAGTTTTAACATTGCCGCCTTCATCAGTCCCTCAAAGCGACGGCATTCTGTTAGGCTTTGGTCACTTTTACATCGTCGTTCCTCGCAGCTTTATTCAGACATAACCGTGACAGTTGCAAAGAGCCGCGGTATGTGAGATATTCACCATATGTGCAAAAGAATTGTCGCATTCGTGGCAGCGAGCATTAGGCATCGAGTGAAGTGTAGCCACACTGTTGGACGTTTAACTCGATGTGACATTTTTACCAAGATCAGGGTCTGTGTGTGTGTGCGTGCATGAGTGTGTGTGTGCGTGCATGAGTGTGTGTGTGCGTGCATGTGCGTGAGTGTGTGTGCGTGCATGTGCGTGAGTGTGTGTGCGTGCATGTGCGCGAGTGTGCGTTCTGCCACAGCTGCCCCTGCCCTTTGAACACAGACTCTCTTCTGCATGGGGAATATGCGCTGCGTTAGAGAGCGACGTTTTCACCATACTGAAAATGAAAAATAGCTTCCGATGAGATAAAATGTCACGTCATATTTTATTGCTGTTTGGGGCGATCTCTACATCAAAGATGGACGAGAGATACGGGCAGTCATCCTGTGCATCGGTTAATGCATTCAGACTCGTGCCAAGTTGAAAGCGCTAGGTAGGACCTAGTTCGAGATTTCCGTCGCAATCTTTGCAGAAAAGTGACCGGGGCGCCCGTTCGGCTGCGAAGCCGACGCGTTCGGTGCCGTCAGATTAATGGGAAAGGACTGCATGTCTGAAAGGGGCTTTGTTGTTGACAGTTTGCTACTCTGCCACTCTTGGCTGTTTAGACAGCTGGACCGCTGCCGCGTGCTGTCAAGGGAAGCCAGACTTGTGAGTGCATGAGTGCTGAGAATCTGTGTACAACATACTACCTAGTGCTGCTCTTCTCTATGTGGACACCTGCTTTAAGATGTGGTGTATATCTCTTTACCTGCCTGTGCTTAACACTCTGTGCGCTTCATCGTCGTAGCCTTCTGTGTTACTTCCAATTTGGTTGATGGATATATGGATGAGTTGCCCATTTGAATCTCTCACACATACTGGTTAACACTTCCTTCCTGTATCACTGGTCGTCCCTTTCGTCCTGCCCGTCTCTTGCCCATCCGCGTATTTTTTTTATATTTTGATACAAACTTTGACGACATATATTGCCCCAGTTATTCAGTTAGTCAAAGCTTTCTAAACTGATTCTAGTAGGCATCATTATAAACTTAGCCGCAGTCTTGTAAATGTGATGAGAATTTTTGTTTTTCCCTGTGAACATTATGCATTATACACATCTGTCCTATGTTGCCTTTATTTGCTGATATTTTTTTATTTCAAATTGAGGAAAGATTGCTTGTTAATATAATTTTACAATAACTTATCTCACCGTGTGGGCTGTTTTTGTTTTCACCGTACATTAATATTAGAGTAACTCAGGTTTGAAGATACTGCTGAAGCTGTGGACAAATAAACGCTTACATTAGAAAATGAGTTATTCACAAAAAGTGTTGAAGTGTAAGTGCTGTATTTACCACGTGTGTACCTTCTGTTTATCAAAAATGCCAAGATTACGAGCGCAGATTAACGTCCTGTGTCTTTAAAATGGAGTTGTCATCACATCTTGCTTGCAGTCAGTGCAATTCAATTCAATTCAATTTTATTTATATAGCGCCAAATCACAACAAAAGTCGCCTCAAGGCGCTTCATAGATACAGAGAAAAACCCAACAATCATATGACCCCCTATGAGCAGCACTTTGGCGACAGTGGGAAGAAAAAACTCCCTTTTAACAGGAAGAAACCTCCGGCAGAACCAGGCTCAGGGAGGGGCGGGGCCATCTGCTGTGATTGGTTGGGGTGAGAGTGCACAGACCTCACCAGACCAGTGGTGGCTTCGCTAATCGGTGCTTTCAGTAAAGCTAGAGGGTGCTGTAGTCAACAGGTAGCAGAACAACAAGAGGAAGTCCAGAGGGAGCCTTTGACTCGAAGGAAACTGCAGCTCCGGCTCAACGGCTGTGCATGAAAGATGAGGGACAACTCGTTTCAGCTGTTGACATCAGTGGGTTTGGGACCAGCTCAGTTCTGTTACAGTTTGGTCCATGTAGCAGAAATAACAGTTTAAAAGGTGCACGTAGGAGGAAATATTTTACATTTTCTTTGAACTGTGTAACTGTGGTTCGCAGTGGGATTGCCGTCAGTCTACACCACAGGTGTCGAACTCCAGGCCTCGAGGGCCAGTGTCCTGCAGGTTTTAGACGTGTCCTTGATCCAACACAGCTGATTTAAATGGCTAAATGACCTCCTCAACATGTCTTGAAGTTCTCCAGAGGCTGCAAATGAACTGATCACTTGATTCAGGTGTGTTGACCCAGAGTGAGATCTAAAACCTGCAGGACACCGGCCCTCGAGGCCTGGAGTTCGACACCCCTGTATGACAACAAATCTTTACTCTGCATAAAACCATCACAGCTAAAGAAACACTTGAAGAGCAGCTGAGATTGTGGAGGCCTCAAAGATGCACTGAGTTATTTGAACGATGTAACCTTAAAGGTTATCAGGTGATTTCTAAAGTTATGTCAGTAGCTTTACGTCGCATCGTGAATGTTTATCCTTTGGATTAATCCGTGACTGTCAGTACAGTAAGAGCACATTTAAGCTGCAAACAGCCACCTTCACACCATTTACCACCACATAAGAATTTACCTTCAACAGTTTTCAACCCACCACTTACCCTTTGCTGGGAGATCGTCAAGCTTCGTTTCACGGCGTAATGGTGAGTGGCTCCAAAGGGTCTTTATAGTTTCGTTTTAGACGTCTGTGTTTATTTTAGCCGGGATCTATTCATTGCCACCTGCTGGAGGCGGTCGGAGCCACTGAAAGCTCCGGGAGTTGCCAAGTACAGCTTTTCCCTAAACATGGAGGACGAGCACACTTTGCTTTTGACATCAAACTGCTGTTACAATCACATGATGACTCCTTTTTGTTGCACTTCAATCTTGTAAGTGTTTTTACTTGCAGCTTAAGAATTTTAAGACAAGTAAAGGCCAGAAGAGCAGCAGTTGGAATCTACAAACGCTTGATGAAACGTTTTTATTCTATTGAATGTCCTTCACTTTCCTTGAATGATGCATCTGTTATCTTAATATAAGACTCACTTGAGCATGATTGTTTTTTCCCTCCATGTCTTTATGTTGCCCTCTAGTGGGCTTCATAAAGACATTCATGGCTTTGACACACATGCTGCACATCCATGGTTTGGTTCAACGTTATGATTCAGACCTGAATCCTGACAAAAGTTCATCGTTGGGAGGATCCTACAGTGTTGTGGTTCCTGTCTAACAATGGGAAATGGGGCTAAGCTGCTGCTGGCTAGCCTCCACAGGATATGGCCTGACTGGGCAGCAGCCAAACCTACCCTCCAACTTCAGTCACACAAGAAGTGTTATGAAAGCTGCAGCCTTTGTTCAAAACATATCTGTGTCACATACTTGTAAAAACAGGATTTTAACTAAAACCTTATTTCATTTCAACAAGTTTTGCTTTTATTATTGCCACAAGGCTCGCATTAGCACTGGTGTTTATGAGACAACACAAAAAGTATTCTGGCAAGTAAAAGAAGCACTGATGTACAACAAAAACATGAAAGAAGTCAGTTTAAATGCTCGGATTGAAATTAAAATCAGATTGTTTTCTCCAAATACTTGAAAGCTATTTAACCAACTACACCAAGATAAGAACCCTCATTAGATTAAATTATGTAACATGGACACTGGGTGCCAAAATCATCTGATGTGCAGATAACACAGATGTTAAGGAATCTGAACTTTACAATCCACACACAGTGCAGACGGTTTATCATTTCCAGACCAGACAGCAAACAACAGGCAGATTCTCATGTGGAAGAAATCTGCTCTTTGTTGGTATTTTTGTAATAATGGAGAACTCGAGCTTTGCAACAATCATTCTCTTTTAATGGGTCAAGCGTGAGTCACAGTGACAACAAACACAAAGAAGCATGCGGTGCTGCTGCATGTCTGCTTTTATAGACAAAGTGAGTCTTCTTATGTTGGTGACTTCACATCCAAGAATATTCAAATCAATAAGTGTCCAATAATAAATTAACCTACGTAGTTCAAAGACTTCCAGCT